TCATGGAATGGTACACTCAAGATTTGTGTTATTATCAATATGCAAAGTTTACCTTAAAAATTGCAAACGAATATTAAACTTTAGTTAATGATATGCATGGTGAAGAGTGTAGATATAAGATGTTTTGATATCTGTAACTTACTTTAGAATGAATAAAAAATCAGACTGATGGATGCATACATATGTGATCAAGCAAAATGTTAATCAAAGAATCTAGAATCTAGAACACCCAATAGATGTTACTGTACAATCCTTTCAAATTTTCTGAATGTTTGAAATCTTTCATAATGAAATATTGGAGAAAATAATACAAGTAAATTGAACAAGAAAAACCAAACACCCAATTTAAAAATGTGTGACGGATTTGAATAGACAATTCTCCAAAGAAGATATATAAATGTTAAATAAGAACATAAAAAGATGTTCAACATCATTAATCATTAGGGAAATGCAATTCAACAACATGAGATACCACTTCACATTCATTAGGATGACTATCAATTAAAAAAAAATAGAAAATAACAAATGTTGAAGACGTAGAGAAATTAGAACCCTTGTGCTTTGCTGGAGAGAACATAAGATGGTGCTGCCATTATGGAAAACAGTTTGTTGGTTTCTCAAAAAGCTAAACATAGAATTAGTGTGTAATCTAGCAATTCCACCTTTAGGTATATACACCCAAAAATTGAAAGCAGGGACTCAAGCAGATATTATACACTCGCAATCACAGCAGCATTATTTACCATAGTCAGAGGTAGGTAGAAACAACCCAAATGTTCACTAATGGATGAATGGATTTAAAAATGTAATATATGCATTCATTTAAATTCAGCCTTAACCCGTGATTGCCAGCCTCTAAGGGTAGGAGAAAATGGAATGTTATTGTTTAATGAAATAGAGTTTCTGTTTGGGATAATGGAAGAGTTCTAAAACTGATAGTGATGATGGTTACACAACATTATGGACATATTAATGCCACTGAATTTTTTTTGCTCTAAGATCAGGAGCAATACGAGAATGGCCACTCTCACCACTTCTGTTTGTTGTTGTAATAGAGGTTTTAGCCAGGGCAATTAGGCAAGAAAATTCAGTAATAGGCATTCAGATTGTAAATAAGATCTCTGTTTACAAATGACATCATTTGGCATATAGAAAATCCTGTAGAATCCACACCAAAAAAGAACAACTATTCTAATTAGTAAACAAGTTCAGAAGGTTGCAAGATACGAGATTGACGTACAAAAACTAATTGTATTTCTTTATATTTGCAGTGAACAATCTGAAAATGAAGTTAAGATAACCATTCCATTTATAATAACATCAAAAAGAACAAAATGAGAAGTAAATTTAACCAAAGAAGTAAAAAACCTACACAACACATAACTGAAATAAAGATCTAGATAAATGGAAGACATCCCATGTTCATGGATTGGAAGAGTTAACGTTAAGATGTCAATACTCCCCAAATTGATCTACAGATTCAATGAAATCACTATAAAAATTCCAGCTGACCTCTTTGCAGCAACTGGTAAGCTGGTCCTAAAATTCATGGGGAAATTCAAGAGAACCAGAATAGCCAAATCAACAATGAAAAAAACAGAGTTGTAGAGTTCACCCTTCCCTGTCTCAAAACTGACTGCAAGGCTATAAGAATCAAGACAGTGTGGTACTGACACTAAAAATAGGGATATAGATCAATGGAGCTGAATTCAGAATCCTGAAATAAGTCCTCTCATATATGGTCAATTGACTTTAAATAGGGGTGCAAAAATGAGACAATAGAGGAAAGAATAATCTTTACAACAAATGATGCTGGAACAACTGAATAGCCACATGCAGAAAGAATAAAGTTGGACCTTTACCTCACATTGTATATGAAAATTAACTCAATATGAATCAATGTAAGAGCTAAAACTATAAAACTTATAGTTTATAAAACTGTAAGACATTGGGGCAAATCTTCATGACCTTGGACTCGGTAATGGTATCTTAGATATGACACCAAAAGCACAAGCAACCAAAGGAAAAGAAGTAAAATTGATTTATTAAAAAATATTTAAAAATTGTGTTTTAATGAACACTATCAAGAAAGTGAAAACCAACCCATAGAATGTGAGAAAATATTTGTAAGTTATATATCTGATAGGGACTTGTATCTTGACTCTATGAAGACCCCCCCACACCCAATAATAAGAAGACAAATAAACCAAGTTTCTAGTTATCCAGTGGTCCTACGCTGGATGTTCCATGCTGGAACATTCTCTCAAAGTAAAGGACAAGTAAGTTGCACCCTACACCTCCTGCCACTGCAAAAGAGCACACTGTAGGGAGACTTCTCTGGATTTTGGAGACAACGTGTTCTATACTTGGAAACACTGCCATGAGCCATTTGCTGGGTAAGATAGAGCTTTGAGTAGAGCCAAGCACGAAAAAGGGGACTGCAGCAAGCCCAGGCTTTGGCACAAGCAGCCCTGTGCCTGGACTGTGACCTGGTAGAGCCCATGGCAAATGCTATGGCAGAGAAAGATTTCACATGGAGCCTCAGGGAGGTTTTGGTGAGAGAGCTGTGGTGCAAACTCCTAGGGTTCTGGAGCGGGGCCGCGCCCCACGCAATTCACAAAACAGCTCCTGGGATGTTACTGAGCCCTGGCAGGAACTGACCTTGGGTATCATCTGACTACGTAGCTGGGATGGCTCATTACAGTTGCATACTGTCAGAGTCACCAAGTCTTAAGGTACCGTCACACAATGGAAGTGGCGTTGCCAGGAGCAGCTCCCAGCAAATCCAGAGGACATGAGTAAGCTCTGTGAGCAAATGACCTCCACCCCTACATGGCCTCGTTCACTGAAATCTTGGGTGGCCATGAACAGCAGTGGTAAGGGAAAAGTCCCCAAAGGGGAGGGCTTCTATGGAGCACCATGTCACCCACATCATGTGGAGGAAGAAGTATTGAGAAAAGAGAGACATGGACCCTGGGGCTTCAGAAAACAGTTGAGTTGATTGATTCTGGGCCTGGACAGCAAAAATAGAATTTTTAAGACAAGGAAGTCAGATGAGGCACCCAGAAAACTGGTGTGACATGGCGCTGGGTTTCCAACTGGTGGGATACAGAGGTCTGGACTCGGGGTGGAGGTGGGGATCCTCACTCCCCAGTATTCTCAGTGACTTAGCCAGGGAATCTGTATTTCCATCCTCACAACTGTAGGTCCTGGGTCTCAGAGCAGGTGCTTTCACCAGGAACACAGTAAGAGTGACACAAAACAGAAACTAGGAAAGCTGCCAGGTTACTTAGCTCCTCATGCCCACAAGCAAAGGGGTCCCCATGCTGGCAGTGAACTTAATGTGAGAAGTAGTAGGGCTGAGCATGGCAAGGCTGAGAGAAGTTCCTCTGCCCCATCCAGAGCCCCTCCGCCCCAGAGATGTGAGCTGGTGACTCGCAGTCATCCCTACTTGGGAGCATTGGCTAGATGGGAGCCACCTTGGTAGGGGAGGCTGACCTCACTCAAGGTGGCCTCAGACACACACCCCCAAGCTAGAGTGGAGCTGGCCTCACTCTCAGCATCTTCTCTTCTTCTCCCCTGTCTCCTTCAGATGTTTATTCACCCAAAAAACTCCCTCCTGGTCCTCCCCCACCCCAATGCTAATGTTGCCTTTTTCGAAGTGTCACGTACATGGAATCACACAGTATGGAGCCTTTTGAGACTGGCTTCTTTCACATGGCACAGTGCCTCTAAGATCCATTGTATTGTGTGTGTCACTGTCATTCCGGGCTCCTCCCTTGCATGGCGGACAGTGGCGTGTTCATTCACTCACCAGCTGATGGGCTTCTGGATTGTTTCCAGATTTTGGTGATGATGTGAATAGAGCTGCTCTAAACACTCATGGGCAGCATTTTGTGTGAACAGTTTTCACTTCTCTAGGGTGAATCTCCAAGACCCTCTGTGGCTCAGTTTTCCCTTCTCTGTTCATTGTAGGTAGCCAAGCAGGTCTTCCAATGTCCCTTCTGGACATCTCATTCATTAAGTACATTTTCGATTTCTTATTTTCTGTTCTACTGCAAATGACAATGTTGCTAAACTTCTTCCTGCCCCATAACAAGGGCCCCCTCCCCTCCATCTTCCAATAACATTTTCCTCCCTTTCCTCTATGACACACTGTCAGTCTCAGGAGGTCCTTCCAGCGTCCACCCACTGCCCAGTCCCAAAGCCAGTGCTATGTGATTTAGGGTTTGTATAGGCAGCATCCCCATTTCTGTACCAAATCTGTCTGATTATCTAGAACTACATAACCAACAACCTCAAATGTATGATCTTGCAGGTCTCGCTCCTGGGCTCTCAGGCAGTGGCAGTCGATGGCAGCTGGTATGGAAGCCACCCCAAAGGCTTCCTCACTCATGGTGCCCTGCTGGTTGTTTACTGGCCCTTCAGTTGGAGCTGCTAGCTAGAACTGCATGTTCTCTTCTGTAGATACTGGTACCTCTTTTGAAGGTACCTCTTTGGGTTCAAAAAGCAAGCATACTGAGACAGACAGACAGACAGACAGAGAGACAGAGACAGAGAGACAGAGAGAGAGAGAGAGACAGAGACAGAGAGAGAAACTGTATTACCTAGTTGTATGACCTGGCCTCAGAAATCAGTGTCCCTTCTGCTGCATTCTAGAGATTAGAAGTGAGTCCTTCAGCCAGCCCATGTTCAAGAATAACGGAACTAGATTTCACCTCTTGAGGGAAGAGTGGTGAATAATTCACTGGCATGTTTGAAAAGTACCACAGTGGGCCCCTTACCAAGGTGTGCTGGCAAAGAAATGGGACATATGTAAAAGTGGGCAGGTGGTGAGAGGGTGTGTTGACCCAGGTGGATAGGTGGTAGGTGTGTCACTCATTCAGGTGGAGAATATCAGGCAAGAGATGGATCTTGAGATCTCAAGTCTGTTCTGGGTGTGGTGGCTAGGAGATGTTTATTGGCGAGCAAAATGGAGAAACAGAGCAGACTCCCAGGAGATGCCGGCCTGGAGCAGAGGAAGAGTTCAGGCCAGAAGTGCCACCTTGGGAGTCACTGTCACAGAGATGGTGTCTGAAGCTTCAAGACTGGAGGTCACCAAGGATGAGAATGGGTAGGGATGAAGGAAGGGTCAAGGCTGGGAGGAGGAGAGCACAGCCTTCCTGACCGCTGACACTGTGGCCCCTGTCTTAGCCATGTATGAACAAAGTCTGACTGGCCTGAAGAGTGAGGAGGTGGGGAGCCCATCCTACTCAGCTCTTGAGAAGCATGGCTGTGACGACAGTGGGGCGGGGGTGTTTAATGTTCTCTTGGGCGATCCTGGGACATACAGGAAAGCAGGAGAATTGGTGGCTCCAGAGCACTTGGGCCTTGGATGGAGTCAGGAAGGCTCCCCTGACCCAGGAGAGAAAGCAGGGAATAGGGGGATAGGGGCAGCGGGGTTGCGGTTTGGTTATGAGCAAAGGGAGCTTCCTGTCTGCGCCCTCATTTCCTCCAAGAGGCAGAGACCTGGTCTCCAAAGGGAGTTGAAGGCTCGGAGGGGAAGACCTGTGGGATCATCGGGTTGCGGATGGTTTGGGCCTCGTTTAAGGTTGGAGCCCAGCAGTTTTGGGGCCAGGAGACTGCGCAGTTTGAACAGGTTTCTCCAGACTTGTTCGTCCGCTTCGGCAGGACCCCGAAGGGGACAAGGAGCAACTCTGGACACTATGGCTAAAGGAGGAGGGCATCCAGGGTCTGGCCAGGAGGCACCGCTGCGCTCAGGGTCGGGGCGTTCCCTGGACGGCAGCCCCAGTGACAAGGCGAGGACCGCCAGGCCCCGCGGGCCGTGGGAGGCGCCCTCCACACTTTTCCAGCGGCGTCTCCCTGGCCCGACAGGAGGGCGCACGCGGGACACATGGATTCCTGCGAGCCCCCTCCCCGTGGCCCGGCCAACCCCCGGGCGCGGATGCGGAGCAGGATTTCCCGCCGCCACGGTCGGGGATTAGCACGCTCCGACCGCACCGCAGGATTAGCCCGCGTGGACCCGCGCCCGGCCCGGGGATTACGGCGCGCTCCCCCCCGACGTATATATT